CTGTTTGGTAGTGTTTGAGATAATAATGGCTGTATTGTCTCACATTGACCTATCTATGCATTACATATGGAGTTAAGGTTATCATTCCTAGCTACTAGACCGTCATTATCGCCGTCATTTAGCTGTCTGTTTTGCCTCTGCACAATAGTTTGAGGTCCTGGATTAATTTGGATATCACCACTTAAGAGCGCTACAATAAAAGCTGTGTGCCACTGTTTTTGTTTGGGTATGCGGTGTTGCCATACCTTGCGGCGATAGTGATATTTACTTTTCTGGTAGGATGGCAACTGTTGGGCTTTTACTGTCCAGGGCGCTGTTACTCCATTCACCTTTTCCAGCCCCCATGACTGATTTCTTTCTTCATGGAGTTGAAGAAATATAAATATAATTATGGCAGCCTGTACCCCCGTAATGCCTGCCATTTTCACTCTTCGCTCTTTTACTCATATACAATAATATTTATTTCTCTTTTCCAGTCCCTAGTACACTTAGTATCTGCTTTAGCAATCACCACTGAATTACTAGTAAAATTTCCTCTTTAAAACCCTCTTCACTGCTCACTTTTCCCTTAACTTCATAAAACCCTTACAGTTAACCCCTTATTACACACTCCCCTTCCCATCTCGCTTCACAGTCTGGCTTCCCCAATTAACTTCTAACTCCTTTCCATTCTGGTAGATCAGAAAGGTTTAATCCATGGTTTTATCCTTCCAAATCCCCCTCAATTCCATTTATCGGGGGTTGTGTCGTGTTGTTGTCTCCTGACCTGTTCTGCTGATTCAGCCATTTTTAAAACACTGAGGGGAGTAACGCCACCTACAACCTGACTTTCCTTGAGTTTATAGATATATTTGGCGTTTTCTGCTATGATTGTCTCACTGTACACTGGTCAGCTGAATATAGGTCAGCTACTAAAACATTAACCTTGACTAAGTTTAGCTATTCACTTCTTTCTCACGACTGGCACTGAGGGATATCCGACCTATAACCTTGGAGTTTTGTACTGTTGATTTGACGATGTCTCCTGTGTTTCCCTCTCGTTAGCACTGGTACAGGTGATATGACTGTTTTGGTCGTATATATACGTATTACAAGCCACTGTGTTTGACGTATATATACTAAAAAATTCTAGAGGCTTCAAATCCAGCTGGAGAAAGCTGGTAGGCCCACATGTGAGAGAATGGGTCTGTGTGGTCAGTGTGCACCATATAAAAAAAATCCTGCAGCATGCAGTGCATAATGAGAAAAAAAAACTCCGACGGTGTTTTTGGATTAAGACACCGACTTTGTGGTGTATTTTCTTATAATATTTATGGTTGTATTTTTGTTTTCTTGGTCTCATTTGATAGAATGGAAAACATATTATAGAAGTAGAGGTGATTTTGATTGGTTTTACTATTAAAAGAACCTTGAAATGTAGCTCAGAGTAGGGGAAATGTTTGATTTTTGCCAATGTTCAAAAGTAAGCAAATGATGTTATTGTCCAATAAATGTCCAACTAGCCATTCAGATATGCAGTCATGAATGGGTTGACATTATTTATATAATTATTACAGTATTGCAGTAGTCGGCATAACAGTAAATCTTCTATTTTTTGTTTGAATAAAAATTCAAAATAGAAAGCAAGAGTAATATCAGAGGGGCCTGAAGATGTGACTGATGAACAGAGGAAATGTTATTTTAGTGCAAAGAATGTCTGCATTGTTCATTCTGGACCCTGTTTTGAAATAGGCATATTTTTTAATTTTCGTGAAATTGGCCGAATTGCAAATTTCTGACCAAATTGCAAATTTCTGAAACTGGTAAATGGGCAGGTTCTTGTACTCAATAGATAGAACAGATGGAGTTCTAAAGAAATTGCTATAAGTTTGGTCGACTGGAACAATGGAATTAGCCGAAAATAGGGCTCAAAGTGGGTGAAATCACCGATTTGTAAATATCGCTGAGGTCGCTAAATTCACAAAAGCGTAATTCCATAAGTTTTCCATCAAATTTTGTTCTTTTGGTGTCATTACCATTGGGAAAAGATTATCATTTCATAAGATTTTTTTTTTTTTTTTTTTTTTTTTTTTTTTTTTTTTTTTTTTTTTTTTTTTTTTACACCAGGAGACACCTCAGGATTTGGGGTTTCGACAGTCAAGGGGTTAAATATATTCTAACCTAAGCACTCTGTAATCTGGCAAAATCAGTAACCCAGCTCCCTACAGGTCCCGATGATGCCAGATTAGTGAAGGTCGTCCTGTATTAGGTATATTATTTTTTCTTTCAACGCACTGGCCGTATCCCACAGAGGCGGGGTGGCCCAAAAGGAAGAACGAAAGCTTTTCCTTTCACATTTAGTAATATATGCAGGAGAAGGCGTTAATAGCCCCTTGCTCCTGGCATTTTAATCGCCTCTTAAGAGACGCATGGCTTACGGAGGAAGAATTCTGTTCCACTTCCCCATGGAGATAAGAGGAAATAAACAAGAACTAGTAAGTAAATAGAAAACCCAGATGGGTATGTATATATATGCTGGTACATGCATGTGTAGTGTGACCTAAGTGTAAGTAGAAGTAGCAAGACGTACCTGAAATCTTGCAAGTTTGAGACAGAAAAGAGACACTAGCACTCCTACCATCATGTAAAACAATGACATGCTTTTGTTTTACACTCGGCAGGACGGTAGTACCTCCCTGGGCGGTTGCTGTCTACCAACCTACTACCTAAATATTATAATTTTCATTTCTAATGTAAACCTAGCCCCACTCACAAGAAACCATTCATGGTATATCCTGCTCCTTTCAGGCCCAGACTTGTGGAACTCTATATTTATTATAAAATGCCAAAACAAACAAAAAATTGTCAAATGCCTTAAATATCTCATGGAGATGAAATCTGGACAGGAGTCATTCCAGTGTTAACTACTAGACAGAAGTCATTTCAGTGTTAACCAAAAATATAGATCTACAAAGTGGCAGCAAAGCAATTGCAATAAAGCTATAAACCAATAGTCTTTAAGTGGTTAGTTTACTTAATACAGTGGACCCCCGGTTAACGATATTTTTTCACTCCAGAAGTATGTTCAGGTGCCAGTACTGACCGAATTTGTTCCCATAAGGAATATTGTGAAGTAGATTAGTCCATTTCAGACCCCCAAACATACACATACAAACGCACTTACATAAATACACTTACATAATTGGTTGCATTCGGAGGTGATCGTTATGCGGGGGTCCACTGTACATGGAATCACAGCAGTTGTACAATCCAGGGTAATTTAGGTTTACTGAAGGTTGTTCCTTCCTCTTTGAAATTGCTGGACCATTACAGCATGATCTTGCATGCACTAAAAGATAAAATGCAGACATAGTATATATAAATGTTGCAAAAGCCTTCAACAAGTGTGACCATAATATAATAGCACAAAAAATACACACAAAAGGAATAGCTTGAAAGTGAGCAGATGGATTTTTAATGTTCTAATAAATTGGATGTAAAGAGTAATAGTTAACAAAGCAAAATCAGAGGTTGCCATTCTGAGAAACAGTTCCTCAAGGCACAGTACACTTCCTAGTTCTCATTCTCATATCTGACAATACTTCATTTAGTAAGTGTGACACCCAATAAGGACATGGCAGCTCTGCAGGTCTTTTAGTTAACCACATAAAATATGATGTTGAATGTGGGCAAATTTTTGTTACTCTTCCTTTAGATAGTGGAAGAGGAATTTTAGGGACTTGAGTAATGTCAAAAGATTCAGCATTCCAAGATCACAACAGTGTTGCTTTTACAAATGCAAGGAAATTGATAGGCTGCATAACTAGAACCTTCAAAACTGAGATACCAAGCTAATTATGATATTCTTTTAAAAATTAAAAATCACCTGTGTTCTATAAATCGGAATATATCCGCACACAAACATCATTTTTATGGGAGGTGAATTTGCAGAACTGGAGGATGTACAGAGCCTTCATTGTGAGATTTTGTATAATTTACTTTTGGTAAATTGTGAAGGGATTGGTCCCAAATCTGAACACACAATCTACACTTGAGAGAAGCTTGGAAGACAGTGCTAAATATCGTCAACAAAGAGCTGAGGTGCAGCAAGTACACTAAAAGACCAACTAAAGTGTAAAGGGACCAAAACTTTAATACCCTTCTTTCACACCCAAGGGGAATTACCAAGAAACCCTTTTCTATCTTTAAAAGGAAACTAAATAATTTCAGGTTAGCTTCTCCTCAGATGAGCTGTGGTTCCTATGTTGTACTGTATAGCTAGCTCCAACAACCTGGTCAATCAAGCCATCAGCTGAAGCTTGGTCTGGGACTGGGTCACACAGGCACTGTTTCCAGTAATAGTCCTTGGGTACTTTTGAAGTATTATAAAAAGAAATAGTGTGCAGACATGATCAAATGTTTTTTGTGATACTCCTCTTAAGATGATTACAATCTGGTGTATAGTTAAAATAATGTAAGGGTTGTCACCCCAGTGGATAAGGATACATTACCTAATAATTGGCCAGGCTCTGAGAGTAGTGGAAACTCTCGAAACTCTTCAAAGGTATAGCGCTATAACTTAGAAAACAAATAAGTGAAGTAATAAAAAGCATAGCAGCATAAGAAAATAGCTGGGGGACAAGTACCAGGCTATGCTAGGGTTTACCATCTTGAAAGTGCACATTCGTTTATTTGGCAAGGAGTAAAATACTAGGGAAAGAACACATGCAGATATCAAATCTAGTATCCCACTTTTGGGGAAGTAGCTAAAGTAAGGGGTTGTTGAATCTGGATCTTAATGGAAAATCGAAATCTTGCATATCAATCCTAGGAGGTAATGTCTTGCATTGCCAGGCTCCTGTGATGCATTATCATTACACTCAGATTTCTATGTTTTTGTTTTCCTGAAATTGGCCAACAGCCAATTTTAATAAAGGTTTAAGTGGTTTTGTAATGGCTCTTGTATAAACATTTTACACCTAGTTATAGCACACATTTCTAATAAGTATTTTGAATTGTAGGAAAAGATTGGAGCGGACGTATTCCCTTTGCCGGCAGTGTGAAGCAACATTACATCAGACTCTTGGCAAACAAGATTCCTGGCTTAAACCAAAGCTTATATCTTGGAGACTACATTTTACCTCTGAGAACAAAACTAAGTGTTTTAATGTAAGTAAAGAGTTTCATAGTGCAATTCCCTTAATGTAATCACTGACAAATATTTATCAAGGTCATTTTTTTCCAGGCTACTCACCACAATTTTTTGGGTTGTACTGTACAGTTAACATATTACGAAAAAATTAACTGGTTGCAGTTAAATGCAGTAATTCATGAAGTATGTGCTAGGTCACTGCTACTGAAAAATCATAATTGCTAAAATAGTTGAATCCTATTTAACCCTTAAACTGTCCAAACATAGATCTACATTCACTTGTTTAGCACTCTGATTTTTTTTTTTTTTTTTAATGAAGAGAGTACAGTGGACCCTCGACTAACGCTATTAATCCGTTCCTGAGAGCTCATCGTTAGTCAGAATAATCGTTAGTCAAGTTAATTTTCCCCATAAAAAATAATGGAAATCAAATTAATCCGTGCAAGACACCCAAAAGTATTGGAAAAAAAAAAAATTTTACCACATGAAATATTAATTTTAATACACACAAACTGAAGAAGACATGCACAGTTACATGACACTTACCTTTATTGAAGATCTGGTGATGATTGATGGGATGGGAAGAGGGGAGTGTGTTGATGGTCTTAGTGTTTAGAAGGGGAATTCCCTTCCATTAGGACTTGAGGTGGCAAGTCCTTTTTCGGGGTTACTTCCCTTCTTCTTTTAATGCCACTAGGACCAGCTTGAGAGTCACTGGACCTCTGTCGCACAACATATCTGCCCATAGAGGCCTGTACCTCCCGTTCCTTTATGACATTCCTAAAGTGTTTCTCAACATTGTCAGTGTCACCATTAAACACTTGTTCGGGTTTCAGTCCTTCACTGTCTATGTACTCCTTGAATTCCTGCACATATTTTTCAGCTGCTTTTTGGTCCAAACTGGCAGCCTCACCATGCCTTATCACACTATGTATGCCACTACGATTCTTAAATCTCTCAAACCAACCTTTGCTGGCCTTAAATTCACTCACATCACCACTAGTTGCTGGCATTTTTCTAATTAAATCGTCATGCAACTTCCTAGCCTTTTCACATATGATCGCTTGAGAGATGCTATCTCCTGCTATCTGTTTTTCGTTTATCCATACCAATAACAGTCTCTCAACATCTTTTATCACTTGCGATCTCAGTTTCGAAAACATATTTGAAACCTTTGGCAAAAAACAGCTCCTTGATTGCCGTTTTCCTTGCCACAATAGTAGGATAGTTGATGGGTTTGTGTACACTGGCCAGCTCGGAGACATGCACTCCACTTTCATACTTAGCAATGATCTCTTTCTTCATATCCATAGTATCTCACTCCTTTTTGCTGAGGGTTGCACTAGAAGCTTCTTGGGGCCCATGGTGACTTATTTGCAGGGGGCAATCACTAAAAAGGCGTGTTATGAAATTTCTGATTGTATGCTTGGAAGTGACCGCGTGGCTGGCTGTTTAAACACTGGCCAGAGTGGCGCGTCTCAGACGGAACAATAGTTTGGTCGGTTTTTTTAGCGCTAATCGAGGCAAAATTTTGCGATAAAATGTATCGCTAGTCAATTTATCGTTAATCGATGCCATCGCTGGTCGAGGTCCACTATACAGTGCCCCAAAGCATTAGCGAACGCATCGATAGCGAACAATCCGCAAGCGAACCTTTGTGCCGCTGAAATTTTGCCCGCATAGTAGACAAAAACCCGCTCAGGAACTTCGCCGACCCGGCCAATGTGCGGCCTCGGCCACCCTCACATGTGCCGCCTGCCCTTTGTTTACCAGCTAGCCTCCGGGGTAACATTCAAGCATACACTCGGAATATTTCGTATAAATTTTGCAGTTTGTTTGTTTGTTGAAAATAAGGGGACCATGGGCCCCAAGAAGCTTCTAGTGCCAACCCTGTGGTAAAAAGGGTGAAATTAGAAATGGAAATTAAGAAAGATTTTGAAGGTTTGGGGCTAACCGAGAAGCCAAGCAGTTGTGGAATCCAATTGTCCTACTTCAAAATTAAGGAAATGTTGCACAGTGGGTTGAACTGCAAACCTTTATGGATGAAAATCACCCTGACACAGCGTTTGCAAGGCGTGCTGGTGACTATTTCAATGACAATGTTATGGCCCATTTAGACAAATCGTAAAGGAACGAGGTACAGAGCTCTATGGACAGAAAGAAGTCCCTGACTCTCAAGCTGGTCCTATGGCATTAAAAGAAGAAGGGAATAACCCCGGAAAAGGACTTGGCCTCCTCAAGTGTTTTAAAGGAAGGGGATTCCCCTTCTAAACACTAACACTCTCCTCTCCCCCTCCTCCCATCCCATCAATCATCACCAATCTTCAATAAAAAATAAGTGTCAATTTGTAATTGTGCATTTCCTTTTTCATTTGTGTGTACGAAAATTAATTTTTTGTGGTAAAAAAATTTTTTTTTCATACTTTTGGGTGTCTTGCACGGATTAATTTTATTTCCATTATTTCTTATGGGGAAAATTAATTCGCATAGCGAACATTTCGCATAACGACCAGCCCTCTTGCACGGATTAAGTTCGCTATGCGGGGGTCCACTGTATTTTTCTCGGCATCCTCGAATTTTGTCATATTGCGCACACTGAATGCACAGAGTCTTCTCTCATGTCTAGGCAACTCAGGCCTATCGTGGTAAGGTTGAAAGCATATGCAGGTCTCCCTCCACATTCGCGAGGGTTAGGGGATCAAGAAATTCACGAATGTTGAAAAATCGCGAATGTTTGGTGCACAAATATATTGTAGGGAAATATAATGATAGTATTTACTTAGCCTAACAGTACTGCTTCCTTAACCTATTGAACCATGAACAATCATAAAACGCATGAAAACATTATAAAATATTGTACTGGTGCCAGCTCTTTGGTAAAGAAGGCGAGACTGACTATAGAATTCAAGAACTCGTAGCAGAGTACCAAAGTGGAGGAGGAAGAGAGAGGGGAGAATGTGTTTTTGTCAGTGATTCTTCTATATGTACGATACTAAAGCAGCACAAGTCAATAAAGGCTATAGTGCCAGCCAGCGATAAAGTGTAGCATTAACAGTGTAGAAAGTAAGTTAAGCGATTATTCGATAGAAAAAGGACAGCATGAACCTAACTCTTCCAATGTTGTTGGAGTTATATAGGGCTATAGACAACACCACTGCCTCTACCACCACTATGTATTGCTTATGCTCTCAGTGGCCCTTATATGTACACCCAGCAATACCACTACCACCACTCGTGACATACATAATAACATACAGTGGACCCCTGACCAACGCTGGGATTGTCTAACAACAAAATTGCCTAACAATGCATTTCTGCGTAAAAGTATTGGCTCGACCAATGGTGAAAAGCTTGGATAAAAACATTCGTCCCGAACGCGTCCGCCTGTCTGTCCAGGCTGAGCACGCCTCAGCTGCCCTACCTTCAGCTAGTGTGCCATTGTTTACAAGCCAATGCGGTTGGTTCCACATGTACCTGCGATACATTTTGTATTATTCCAGTGGTTTTTAGTGCTTTTAACTGCTGAATAAGCCACCATGGCCCCAAGAAAGCTTCTAGTGCCAACCCTGTGGTAAAAAGGGTGAGAATTAAAATTGAATTGAAGGAGGAGATAATCACAAAGTATGAGAGTGGAGTGCGTGCCTCCGAGCTGGCCAGGTTGTATAACAAACCTCAATCAACCATCGCTACTATCTTGGCCAACAGAAAGGCAATCAAGGAAGCTGTTGTTGTGAAAGGTGCAAGTGTGTTTTCGAAACAGAGATCGCAAATACTCGAAGATGTTGAGAGACCGTTGTTGTTGTGGATAAACGAAAAACATATATCAGGAGATAGTATTTCTCAGTCAATAATATGTGAAAAGGCAAGGCAGTTGCATGACGATTTAATTAAAAAAATGCCTGCAACTAGTGGTGATAGTGAATTTAAGGCCAGCAAAGTTTGGTTTGAGAGATAAAGAATTGTAGTGGCACCCCACTTGGCCCATGACTAGGCTCAGAGAGTAGATTAACTCTCGAAACTCTTCAAAGGTATACACAGTGTGATAAGGCATGGTGAGGCTGCCAGTTCGGACAAAAAAGTGACTGAAAAATATGTGCAGGAATTCAAGGAGTACATACACTGAAAAATTAAAAACCCCAACAACCTACATTACACAGGAGAAAAAAGGCACTGCCAGGACACAAGCCTACGAAAGACAGGGTAACTCATGTTTTGTAGTATTGCTAGTGGGGATTGCAAAGTGAAGCCTCTATTCGTGTATCACTCTGAAACTTCGAGTGTTCAAGAAAAATAATGTTGTCAAGGCTAATTTGTGTGTGATGTGGAGGGCAAACAGTAAGGCATGGGTCACTAGGGACATTTTCTATGACTGGTTTTACCATGTGTTTGGCCCCACTGTGAAAAATTACCTACTGGAAAATAAATTGGACATAAGGTGCCTCCTGGTATTAGACAATACTCCTGCTCATCCTTCAGACTTGCCAGAGCGAATTGCGGAGGACTCGAGTTTTATAAAAGTGAAGTTCTTGCCTCCTAATACCACTCCTCTCCTCCAGCCCATGGACCAGCAGGTCATTTCAAATTTCAAAAAACTGTACACTAAAACAGTGTTTCAAAAGTGCTTTGAAGTGACCTCAGACACTCAGTTGACCCTAAGAGACTATTGGAAAGATCACCTTAGTATCCTTAATTGCATAAGCCTTATAGGTAAGGCTTGGGAGGGAGTGACTAACAGGACCTTAAACTCTGCTTGGAGGAAATTGTGGCCAGAATGTGTACAAGAGAGGGATTTTGAAGGGTTTGGGGCTAACCCTGAGGAGCCTATGCCAGTTGTGGAAACTGTTGTGGCATTGGCGAAGTCCATGGGGTTGGAGGTTAGTGGGGAGGATGTGGAAGAGTTGGTAGAGGACGACGATGAAGAACTAACAGCTGTTGAGCTGCAAGAGCATTTGCAACAGCAAGAGACCACAACTGAGGAAGTTGTTTCAGAGGGGGGGAGAGAGGGAGGGAGGGAAGAAGTTGCCTTCTTCAACGGTTAAGGAAATTTGTGCACAGTGGATTGATGTGCAAACCTTTATGGATGAAAATCACCTTGACAAGAGTTATTGTAAGCCGTGCTGGTGACTTTTTTGCAATGACAGTGTTGTGGCTCATATTAAGAAAATCTGAAAGGAATGCCAGGTACAGAGCTTTATGGACATTTTTGGTGTGACAAGAGGTCCAGCGACTGTCAAGTTATTCCTAGCGGCAATAACCCCGGAAAAGGACTTGGTACCTAAAGTCCTTATGGAAGGGGATTCCCCTTCCAGAAAATAAAATGTACACCTGTCTCCCCTCCTCCCATCTAATCACTCACCAATAAATCTTCAATAAAGATAAGTGTCATTTATTCTTCATGTAGTATTTATTGTGCATGTATCCTTGTTTTTCTGTGTAGGAAAATGTATATTTCATGCGAAAATTTTTTTTCATACTTTTGGGTGGCTGGAACGGATTAATTGGATTTCCATTATTTCTTGTGGGGAAAATTAATTTGGCTAATGATAAATTCAGCTAAGGACTAGCTCTCTGGAACGGATTAATATCGTTGATCGAGGGTCCACTGTATTTTATTCTTTCTAGAGTATATGTCATGTTTCTATGTTTTTAATATTGTTGATTATGTCATATTATGTGATTTGTGATAGATAAATAGGCCATAGAGTTGATACTGGTGTCATATTGAAGGACTATCTTGTCCTATCTCAAAACAAACTCTGCCGCCGCCGCAGTTCCTAACATATGTAACGACATATTTTAATGACCAGTTTAGGGACCTAAGAAAAGATTCATTAAATGATTAATACACTAGGTGAATTTCAGTTTTTCTTTAGAAATCATGTAACAACTTGAGAGGTTGACTAAGCACAATAAAAATCTACTAACTCCTATTTTTTTAGATGATGGAATTCAGAACTGCCCTGTACTCATAAAAGATGGGCTTTCCTCTCTTTCATTCCCTTCCTTACTCTGAGACATTTCTTATCTCTTCCAGATGAGAAATGAACCACTGATAGTAATTTCCTCTTGTAATGGCCTTTCCTTGCAAATTTCATGTTAAAGATAGTTGTAGAAAAGGTACATAATTTAGAAATGGCTGCTAATGAGGTCATTAGACACCAGACATCAGAGATAATGAGAAAAATGTTTCATGGTATGACTGTTGGCTGCAGTGTGCATTCCAGTGCTTCAACACTTCCTACTGTTGCTGATTTCAGCTACAGCATAACTGGAATCCATTAATTACATTCTCCAACATTGTTTTAAGAGTTAAGTGCTCTAAATTTTTAACACCAGCCATCTACTGAGGTTAAGTGACCTGAAAAAGAAATACTTTAACACTCATTCATTGAATCACTGTCTTACCAGAAGCATACTAACATTACAAGTTAGATGACCTTCTGAATTGCAGCATCCTCACCCATCCTTCAGGGTGCAGGCACTGTACTTCCCACAGCCAGGACTGAAGTCTGGCTTTTTGGTTTTCCTGGATACCTTTACAAATGTTACCTTGCTTACACTACAAAATCATATCAGGTAAAAAGTGCTTGCCTCCACTCAACTTTTATTTAACACTCAAACATAAGCCTATTAGATGCGTAGTCTGCCCTTTCACTCAAAGCCTTCATTATCCATACTACATAACTGAATTTTGACCAGCTTATTGGAGGATGATGGGAGGGTGGCTTGTCAGCCACTACTCTGCCAGCTATTTATGCTGGTAATTCCTCATTCTTTTTTAGTAATTTATACAGGGGTTAATAATTCCTTGCTCCTGACATTTTAGTCACCTTGGGAAGTTTCAGTGGTTCGTGTCTGTTTTCCCCTACTGCTGTGTGCCAAATCTGTCCTGCCTACGATTACTTCTCGCTCTTTATCTCGATCACTTCTGGTCGCATGTTCATGCTGTTGCTGTTTATACAGATGGTTTTAAATATTCTGACGGTTTTGGGTTCACGGCAGTGTTCCCTGATGCTGATGATGTTCGAGGTCATTTGTTAGACTCGGCTAGTATTTTTACCGCCGAGTTGTATGCCATTCTCCATATTACATATGTCTCCTTTGACGTTTGTGATCATATCAGATTCCCTCGGGTCATTTTAAGCCATTAATCCTTTCAGGGTTGGTGCCGTACTAGTACTCATAAATTCTAACGTATTCAAATCTAGTGAGAGAAAGCTTGTAGGCCTGCATATGAAAGAATGGGTCTGCAGCACACGGTGCATAATTAGAAAAAAACTCCGACTGTGTTTTTTATTTAAAACAGCGACTTTGCAGTTTATTTTTGTATGGTATTTATGGTTTCATTCTTGTTTTCTTGGCCTCATTTTATAGAATGGAAGACATATTGTAGAATTTGAGATGATTTTTGATTGGTTTCACAATGAAAAGTACCTTGAAATTGAACTCAGAGTAGCAGAAATGTTCAATTTTTGCCAATGCTCAAAGGTAAACAAATAATGCCACGTGTTCAGTACACGACAAATGGTTTTTGTGAGAATAAAAGTAAAAAGTGAAAAGCAAAAGAAATGTAAGATGGGCCTAGAGACATGACTAATAAACAGAGAAAATGTTATTTTAGTGCCAGGAGTATCTGTCTTGTTTATTCTAGACCCTATTTTGAAATTGGCATATTCTGAAATTTGTGTGAAATTGGCAAAATTGCTAATTTCTGACCACTTTATTGGATAGTTGAAATTGGTAATTGGCTGGTTTCTTGTACTCATTCGATAGAACAAACGAAGCTCTAATGAAATAACTATGATTTTTGTTGACTGGTACATTGGAATTGGCCGAAAATAGGGCTCAGTGAGTGAAATTGCCGATGCGTAAACATCGTCGAGATGACTAACTTCGCGAGAGCAGAATTCCGTAAGTTTATCATCAAATTTCATACTTTTGGTATCATTATGATAAGGAAAAGTTGCTCTATCATTTCACAAGAAAAATTTTTTTGGGGGGGAGGGGGATTTTTGACCCTGAGAACAAGTTTAGGAGAGGGCCTCTTGATCTTGAAAGGGTTGAACAATTTGATTGCCCACGTCCATTCGTCTTTCTTATTCAACTAGGGTTGCGCCTCGTGGCTAGCAAAAGTAGACTTTTTCTGTTGGGTCCCTGGACATGTTGATGTGTAGGGCAGTGAACAGGCGGATGCTGCTGCATGGTCAGCGGTACATGATCTTCCAGTTTCCTATACAGGTACAGGGGAACCCTGGATGTTGGCCAGTTCGGAATTCGGCTGCTTTTTTGACTGAAATTCTGTCCTGGATTTTGGCTGGCATCTTGGAAATCAGCCTTATTGCACGCGTCTGCCCGCCATTCCCCCGCATTCGTGAGTCAGTCTGGCGGTCTCCCTGGGTGAGTGAGCAAAGCTCTGTGCATTCATCCGAACATTGTTATAATCCATTGTTTTTTGTGGTTATTTATTGAGTGCAATTGCAAAATAAGCTGCCATGGGCCCAAAGAAAGTTCCTAGTGCCAACCCTTTGGTAAAGAAAGTGAGAAACATGATAGAATTCAAGAGAGAAATTATAGCAAAGTATAAGAGTGGTGTATGTGTCTTGGAGCTTGCTAGGATGTATGGGAAATCCAAATCAACAATCAAGGAAGCTAATGTTGCAATATGGGTAAATATGCTAACGAAGCAAAGATCATCAATTATCAAAGATGCCGAGAAATTATTGTTGGTGTGGATCAATGAGAAAGGATTAGCGTGAGATAATATTGTGGAGTCGATCATTTGGGAAAAGGCAAGGCAATTGCACATGGATCTCGTAAAGAAATGCATGGAACGAGTGCTGCTGTTAGTGAATTTAAGGCCTGCAGAGGCTGGTTCGACAGATTCAAGAAGCGTAGTGGCGTACAGTGTTGCAAGGCATGGTGAGGCTGCAAGTTCAGACAAACGTGCGGCTGAAGAATTCGTGCATAAATTCAAGGATTACATATAGGCTGAAGGATTCGTCCCCCAACAAGTGTTTGTGACGAAACTGGCCTTTTTTGGAAAAAATACCAGAGGACCTACATCACTCAGGAGGAAAAGGCACTGCCAGGACACAAGCCATGAAGGATAGGCTTACTCTTTTGTTCTGTAGTAATGCTAGTGGGAATTTCAAAGTCGAGCCTTTACTGGTGTATCACTGAAAATCCCAGAGTGTTCAAGAAAAACAATGTCGTCAAGAGTCATGCAAAAGAATTACACTTTGGTCACGCTTAGTGTGACCTAAGCGTAGTTCTTTTCTTTGGCCCTCTAATAGAGTAAAACTGATGACTAGTGTTATTTCTACATTGATATTGGTATAGCAGATAAGACTGTTTGAATGGCTGACTCATAAATGTAAATTGTATTAGAGGCTCTAATACACTTTATTGGATGGTATTGATATATAAAAAGCAAAATAAATCACCCAAGGCATACTTCCATGTGATCTGTGCTACCAGTCATCTGTAGTTTTTAGATTTAAGTTTGAATCCTTGAGTTTTTTTTAGTTTCACTATATTGAAGTGCAAATTAATTTAGCTTTGGAAGTCAGGCATTACATTTACATTCATAGTACCATTTCTTTTTACAGAAGAATACTGGTGGATACCAAAGAACTCTTTTTTACCGTCATCTACTTCATATAATGGGAGTCCTGATCTCACTAGTACTCTTCCTATGCAATCTACATCACTTACAACATCACTCTGGTATACAATTGGTGTCTCTAAACTTCGGTGTAGACTTTGACATGTATCTCGCCACCCTGTACAAGTATTCATCACCTCTGATAGTTGCAGGACTCTCCTTGCTTCTCATTAGCATTTTCAGTTCTGGAAAGGAAACTCTACTGGTAAGCAGTAACTTGTATCTTTGCTTCTGAATCATAATGAAATTAATGTGAAAATTTTGAAGATTTTTAAATGAGATAAGAATGTTAGATGTCTTGCATGATGACTAATACAGCTTGGGAAATTTTAGTTGATGGGATATATATCAGTGAGAATAAATATAAATACAATTCATTAAGAACATTATTTCCTGAAATACACATTGAAACAAATTTTGAAAAGAAATGGCTGAAATTATTACTAAAACGTATGTATATCAATATTAGAAAAAAATTATACTGAAATTTCAATTAGTTCACAGTATATAATGGGCTAGTAACCCCTTCTGTAGAAAACACCAACGAAAGAGAAGAAGAAGAATTTGATAAAACTGGGATGCTGAATGTGTGTGGATGTAGTGCGGATGATAAGAAAAAGATGATTGCTTATGTTATGAATGAAAAGGAGTTGGATGTTCTAGTTCTAAGCAAAACAAAGCTGAAGGGGGTAGGTGAGTTTCATTGGGAAGAAATAAATAGGATTAAGTGAGGAGTATCTGAGAGTTAAAGCTAAGGAAAGTGTAGCAATAATGTTGAAGGATCAGTTATGGAAGGAGAAGAGGGAATATAAAAGTACAAATTCGAGGATTATGTGAATTAAAATGAGGGTCAGATGCAAAAAGTGGCTCATAATAAGTGTGTATGCACCTGGAGAAGACAGGAAAGAGAAATTTTGGGACATATTAAGTGAGTGTGTAGGAACTTTTGAACCAAGTGAGAGAGCAATTGTAGTAGGGGACTTAAATGCTAAAGTAGGAGAAACATTTAGAGGGTGTGGTAGGTAAGTTTGGGGTGCCAGGTGTAAATGATAATAGGGTTCTTTGATTGAACTTTGTAGAAAGGGGTTTGGTTATAGGTAATACGTGTTTAACAAAAGGAGGTTAAATAAGTATACAAGATATAGGGCATAATGAAAGTACAGTGGACCCCCGGTTAACGAACTTTTTTCATTCCAGTAGTATGTTCAGGTGCCAGTACTGACCGAATTTTTTCCCATAAGGAATATTGTGAAATAGATTAGTCCATTTCAGACCCCCAAACATACACGTACAAAAGCACTTACATAAATACACTTACATAATTGGTCGCATTTGGAGGTGATCGTTAAGCGGGGGTCCACTGTAGTTTGTTGGGCTACGTATTTGTAGATAAAAGACTGTCAAGTAGATTTCAGGATGTACACATTTATAGAGGGGCCACAGATATATCAGATAACTTTTTAGTTCTAGCTACAGTGAGAGTAAAAGGTAGATGGGATACAAGGAAAATAGAAGAAGCAAGTAAGAGAGGTGAAGGTTTAGAAACTAAAGGAGGGGACAGTTAGGGTAAGACATGAGCAACTGTTGGAGGATAGATAGGCTAGTAAGATGTATGGGGTAGGTTTAAGAATGTAGTGTTAGTATTTGGCAGAAGTTTGTGGTTGCAGGAAAGTGGGTGCAGGAGGGAAGAAGAGCGATTGGTGGAATGATGATGTAGAGAGTAGCAAGGGAGAAAAGGCTAGTACAGTGGACTCCCGGTTAACGATATTTTTTCACTCCAGAAGTATGTTCAGGTGCCAGTACTGACCGAATTTGTTCCCATAAGGAATATTGTGAAGTAGATTAGTCCATTTCAGACCCCCAAACATACACGTACAAACGCACTTACATAAATACACTTACATAATTGGTCGCATTCGGAGGTGTTCGTTATGCGGGGGTCCACTGTATATGAGAGGTTTTCACAAAGAAGTGATGTAAGGTGGGAGGAGTATATGGACAGAAAAAGAGAGGTTAAGAGAGTGGTGAAGCAATGTAAAAAGAGAGCAAATGAGAGAGTGGGTGAGATATTATCAACAAATTTTGTTGAAAATAAGAAAAAGTTTTGGAGTGAGATTAACAAGTTAAGAAAGCCTAGAGAACAAATGGATTTGTCAGTTAAAAATAGGAGAGGAGAGTTATTAAATGGAGAGTTAGAGGTATTGGGAAGATGGAGGGAATATTTTGAGGAATTGTTAAATGTTGATGAAGATAGGGAAGCTGTGATTTCGTGTATAGGACAAGGAGGAATAACATCTTGTAGGAGTGAGGAAGAGCCAGTTGTGAGTGTGGGGGAAGTTCGTGAGGCAGTAGGTAAAATGAAAGGGGGTAAGGCAGCCGGGATTGATGGGATAAAGATAAAATGTTAAAAGCAGGTGGGGATATAGTTTTGGAGTGGTTGGTGCAATTATTTAATAAATGTATGGAAGAGGGTAAGGTACCTAGGGATTGGCAGAGAGCATGCATAGTTCCTTTGTATAAAGGCAAAGGGGATAAAAGAGAGTGCAAAAATTATAGGGGGATAAGTCTGCTGAGTATACCTGGTAAAGTGTATGGTAGTTATTATTGAAAGAATTAAGAGTAAGACGGAGAATAGGATAGCAGATGAACAAGGAGGCTTTAGGAAAGGTAGGGGGTGTGTGGACCAGGTGTTTACAGTGAAAAATATAAGTGAACAGTATTTAGATAAGGCTAAAGAGGTCTTTGTGGCATTTATGGATTTGGAAAAGGCGTATGACAGGGTGGATAGGGGGGCAATGTGGCAGATGTTGCAAGTGTATCGTGTAGGAGGTAGGTTACTGAAAGCAGTGAAGAGTTTTTACGAGGATAGTGAGGCTCAAGTTTGAGTATGTAGGAAAGAGGGAAATTATTTCCCAGTAAAAGTAGGCCTTAGACAAGGATGTGTGATGTCACCGTGGTTGTTTAATATATTTATAGATGGGGTTGTAAGAGAAGTAAATGCGAGGGTCTTGGCAAGAGGCGTAGAGTTAAAAGATAAAGAATAACACACAAAGTGGGAGTTGTCACAGCTGCTCTTTGCTGATGACACTGTGCTCTTGGGAGATTCTGAAGAGAAGTTGCAGAGATTGGTGGATGAATTTGGTAGGGTGTGCAAAAGAAGAAAATTAAAGGTAAATACAGGAAAGAGTAAGGTTATGAGGATAACAAAAAGATTAGGTGATGAAAGATTGAATATCAGATTGGAGGGAGAGAGCATGGAGGAGGTGAATGTATTCAGATATTTGGGAGTGGACGTGTCAGCAGATGGGTCTATGAAAGATGAGGTGAATCATAGAATTGATGAGGGGAAAAGAGTGAGTGGTGCACTTAGGAGTCTGTGGAGACAAAGAACTTTGTCCTTGGAGGCAAAGAGGGGAATGTATGAGAGTATAGTTTTACCAACGCTCTTATATGGGTGTGAAGCATGGGTGATGAATGTTGCAGCGAGGAGAAGGCTGGAGGCAGTGGAGATGTCATGTCTGAGAGCAATGTGTGGTGTGAATATAATGCAGAGAATTCGTAGTTTGGAAGTTAGGAGGAGGTGCGGGATTACCAAAACTGTTGTCCAGAGGGCTGAGGAAGGGTTGTTGAGGTGGTTCGGACATGTAGAGAGAATGGAGCGAAACAGAATGACTTCAAGAGTGTATCAGTCTGTAGTGGAAGGAAGGCGGGATAGGGGTCGGCCTAGGAAAGGTTGGAGGGAGGGGGTAAAGGAGGTTTTGTGTGCGAGGGGCTTGGACTTCCAGCAGGCATTCGTGAGCGTGTTGATAGGAGTGAATGGAGACAAATGGTTTTTAATACTTGACGTGCTGTTGGAGTGTGAGCAAAGTAACATTTATGAAGGGGTTCAGGGAAACCGGCAGGCCGGACTTGAGTCCTGGAGATGGGAAGTACAGTGCCTGCACTCTGAAGGAGGGGTGTTAATGTTGCAGTTTAAAAACTGTAGTGTAAAGCACCCTTCTGGCAAGACAGTGATGGAGTGAATGATGGTGAAAGTTTTTCTTTTTCGGGCCACCCTGCCTTGGTGGGAATCGGCCAGTGTGATAATAAAAAAAAAATAATTTTTAGTTCTAGCTACAGTGAGAGTAAAAGGTAGATGGGATACAAGGAAAATAGAAGAAGCAAGTAAGAGAGGTGAAGGTTTAGAAACTAAAGGAGGGGACAGTTAGGGTAAGACATGAGCAACTGTTGGAGGATAGATAGGCTAGTAAGATGTATGGGGTAGGTTTAAGAATGTAGTGTTAGTATTTGGCAGAAGTTTGTGGTTGCAGGAAAGTGGGTGCAGGAGGGAAGAAGAGCGATTGGTGGAATGATGATGTAGAGAGTAGCAAGGGAGAAAAGGCTAGTACAGTGGACTCCCGGTTAACGATATTTTTTCACTCCAGAAGTATGTTCAGGTGCCAGTACTGACCGAATTTGTTCCCATAAGGAATATTGTGAAGTAGATTAGTCCATTTCAGACCCCCAAACATACACGTACAAACGCACTTACATAAATACACTTACATAATTGGTCGCATTCGGAGGTGATCGTTATGCGGGGGTCCACTGTATATGAGAGGTTTTCACAAAGAAGTGATGTAAGGTGGGAGGAGTATATAGACAGAAAAAGAGAGGGTAAGAGAGTGGTGAAGCAAAGTAAAAAGAGAGCAAATGAGAGAGTGGGTGAGATATTATCAACAAATTTTGTTGAAAATGAGAAAAAGTTTTGGAGTGAGATTAATAAGTTGAGGAAGCCTAGGGAACGCGTAGATTTGATAGTTAAAAATAGTTGAGGAGAATTACTAAATGGAGAGTTAGAGGTGTCGGGAAGATGGGGGGAATACTTTGAGGAATTGTTAAATGTTGAAGATAGGGAATGTTTGATTTCGTGTATAGGGCAAGGAGGAATAACATCTTATAGGAATGAGGAAGAGCCAGTTGTGAGTGTGGGGGAAGTTCGTGAAGCAGCGGATAGAAAGACAGGGAGTAGGGCAGCTGGGATTGATGGGATAAAGATTGAAATGTTAAAAGCAGGTGGGGATGCAGTTTTGGAGTGGTTGGTGCTTTTATTTAATAAATGTATGGAAGAGGGTAAGGTACCTAAGGATTGGTAGAGAGCATGCATAGTTCCTTTGTATAAAGGCAAAGGGGACAAAAGAGAGTGCAAAAATTATAGGTGAATTA